ATTGAATTGAATTGAATTGAATTTTAGCTACTCTTTAGCAATTTTATCTTATAGCAACTGTTTAGCTACTTTAAGCTAGTGTTTTACTTTTATCTTCTAGCCACTTGATTGATACTTTTAGCTAGTTTTCTGATACTTTTAGTTATTTGTCTAATTTCAGCTGGCCTTTTGATACTTTGGCTTTTACTTAGTTTTTTTTTGTACCTTTAACTAGCTATTATCAGCTTTTAACTTAGGTTACTGCTTTGTGATATTTGGCAGTGTTTAGGTAATTTTCTTTTCTAGCAACCATTTTGATACATTTACCTATTTTATCTGATTTATTTGGCCGTTTGACACTTAAGCCTTTACTTAGCCTTTGTCTACTTTCAGCTAGCCTTTAGCTACTTTTAGCTTCTAGCAGAAATTTTGCTGGTTTTTAATTACTTTGAATTTTTAGCGTGTCTGGTTTTGGAACGTGTTTGCTTTTAGCTTGTGTTTAGTTATTTTTGGCTAGTGTTTTTCTATTTTTAGCCACATTTTTTATACTTAAGGTGTGTGTGTGTGTGTGTGTGTGTGTGTGTGTGTGTGTGTGTGTATGTGTGTGTGTGTCAACAGGCAGCTGCTCAGTCTGGATGATGACAAAGTTGTGAACTACACCTCCATGGTTCTCCACACGTGTCTGGATGAAACCAAAGTGGAAGATCTGTCGAAGCCACAGAACATCAAGTTGGCGCTCAGAGTGATGGAGCTCTGCAGGACCCAGCCAGACCTGGACTGGACGTAAGAGCTTTGAAAAAAAAACTTTTCCAATGACCACTGGTCGTATTTTACAGATGTGTGGGAAATCTTTCCAGAAAATGTTGAGAAAGAAAAAACTAAATAACCCCATTTTCCATGAATCTATATGTGAACTAACACATGCTAATTTGAACGCTATTAGCATAGCATATAAAATAGCAAATGGCTCTAAGATATGAAACTTGTTTCCAGCTGTGTGTCCAGAATTTATCATCAAACTGTTGCTCTACCATCATTAAAACAACTTTTAATGCAAATAATTAATAAAAAAAAGTTTTAGGACTTTGTGAGGAAAATTGTTTCCAACCAGCAGTATTTATGCTTTAGTTCTCAGAACTGCCTGTATATTTTATTTATTTTTATTATTATTATTGTTAACAGAAAAGTGTTTTAATTAATAAGCAAGTTTCATCATTTTGATTGTTTCTTTTGACTCATTAAGACTGTTTACATTAGATTTGTGTTTCCTCGTGTGTTGCCTTTGCAATTATTTATTTTCTATTGATGTTATTTGAACAAAAGAAAGAAAATTAATGGTTGTTTTATAAAATACTCGGGTTTAATAAAGTTTTTTCAGCCTTAGTGGGCTTAAAGGATTAAACAGTTTGAATGATGTCATATGCTCAGAGGTGTTTCTTGTCACAAAGTGATTATTTGGGGTTTGTTTGTTTCCAGGGTTCTCATTGCAACCCAACATTTCCTCAAGTCCTCAGCTCTGGTGGAGAGCATGTATTCTGGGATGTCTCATTATGAAAGGTTCTGATTTGTTTATTGAAGTTAAACATGTAAAGTCAGAAACTTGTGTGGACTTGGAACATATTGCTGAGTCGGGATGTTTTTCAGGGTCACTCTGTTGGAGCTGCTTAACGCTCAGCTACGAGAGGAGGACTCAGGGGGATGCGGCGTCCCGCCTGGCGTGGCTCGTTTCCTGGCCGGTTCCTTCCAGAAGGGATGTGGATCTGTTCTAACACTGGCGACAGGTTCTGCTTCCAGTGACGAGGTGCAAATAATAAATCCAACCGAATTATTTGCTTATAAAGCTCTTTTTTTTTGAGACTTGTTTCCTGTTGGCTGCAGGTCCTGCAGGAGGCGCTGACGGTGATCGGCCTGCTGGACGTTCTGTGTGAGATGACCTCGGACCACAAGCAGTTTATGTTCCTGCAGGACCATCCGGACCTTCTAGATAGCACAGTTGGTAAAGGAAACCCCAACAGAGAAGCTGCACGCCGTGACGGTTTAACAGAATGGTTTTTCTTCTTCTCYGTCTTCGCAGAGCTCCTGATGCAGGTGCACGCCATCGGCAAGGCCAGTAAGAACATTTTCAGCGCCACTCAGAACTTCTCCTCCCTCGTTCACGACGGAGACCCTTCGTCTCARTCTCCTGTCGTCAGCTTCAAGGCCCACCTCATCCGACTCGTAGGGAACCTCTGCCACAGCAACACCAACAACCAGAACAAGGTCTGAGTTCTGTCGCACCGCATCAGACCGATCAGTCGGTTAATGCAAAACATTTTCTGTGTGTCTGCACTTTGAACRCTGAGTAATAAAAAGACATTTGCTGGAGCTAAAACTGAAATGTTAAAGTTAAAACAACCAAAACTATAATTAGCAAAACAATAAAATAAAATAGAATCAGCACAACCGTAGATAAATGAGGTAAATACTATCTAGAAGCTAAAATTTGTAAAATTATAGATGAAAGCTAAAATTAACCCGTAGCTAAAAACTCTATTTAGAAAATTTGTAGCTGAAGTAGCAAAACAATAACAAAAAGTTAAAAGCCTTTAATACTGTAGAAGCTAAAATTCATTAAATCATAAATAAAAGATAAAATTTGACTAAAAACTCAATTAGGCTAGCTGACGCTTAAAAAGCAGAACCATAGCTAAAAGTAGCCAAATACTACATAAAAGCTAAAATTTCTAAAATCATAGATGAAAGCTAAAATTAACCAGTGGCTAAAAACTATATTTAGAAAATTTGTACCTAAAGTAGTAAAACAGCAGATAAAAGCTAAAAGTAACTAAACAGTTGCTAAAAGCCTTTAATATTGTCTTAGTTAAGATTTGTTAAATCATAAATAAAAGATCGAATTTGCCAAACATTATCTAAAAGCTCAACTGAGCTAACTGTAGCTTAAGTAGCAGAACAATGGCTAAAAGAAAATTTGTAAAATCATACATGAAAATTAAAACTAACTAGTTGCTCAAAACTTTTAGCAAAATTGAAGCTGCAGTAGCAAAACAATAGCTAAAAGTAGCAAAACCACAGGTAAAAGCTAAAGTCATTTAAAGCTGAGGTTACTACGGCAGATAAAAGTTAAAATTTGTGAAACCGTGACTAAAAACACAACTGTAGCTTATGTAACAGAACAGTAGCTAAAAGCTAAAAATAAACCAGTGGCTAAAAACTCAACTGAGCTAACTGTAGCTTAAGTAGCAGAACARTGGCTAAAAGMAAATTTGTAAAATCATACATGAAAATTAAAACTAACTAGTTGCTCAAAACTTTTAGCAMAATTGAAGCTGCAGTAGCAAAACAATAGCTAAAAGTAGCAAAACCACAGGTAAAAGCTAAAGTCATTTAAAGCTGAGGTTACTACGGCAGATCAAAGTTAAAATTTGTGAAACAATGACTAAAAACACTTGTAGCTTATGTAGCAGAACAGTAGCTAAAAGCTAAAATGAACCAGTGGCTAAAACCTCAACTTATAAAAGCTGTAGCTTATGTAGCAGAACAGTAGCTAAAACCTAAAATTTCTAAAATTTTCGACRATGGCTAAAATTAACCAGTGGCTAAAAACTCTATTTTGCAAATTTGTAGCTGAAGTTACAAAACAGCAGATAAAAGCTATAAGTAGCAAAACAATAGCTAAATCTTAGCTAAAAGCTTAAATTCGTTAAATCATAGATTAAAGATCACATTTGCCAAACATTAGCTAAAAAATCAACTGAGCTAACTGTAGCTTAAATAGCAGAACAGTGGCTAAAAGAAAATTTGTCAAATCATACATGAAAATTAAAACTAACTAGTGGGTCAAAAAGTTTTAGCAAAATTGTAGCTGAAGTAGCAAAAAAAAAGCTAAAACTAGCAAAACCACAGGTAAAAGCTAAAATATTTTAAAGCTGAGGTTACTACGGCAGATAAAAGTTAATATTTGTGAAACCATGACTAAAAACACAACTGTAGCTTATGTAACAGAACAGTAGCTAAAAGCTAAAAATAAACCAGTGGCTAAAAACTCAACTTAGCAAAACTGTAGCTTATGTAGCAGAGCAGTAGCTAAAACCTAAAATTTCTAAAATTTTAGACGATGGCTAAAATTAACCAGTGGCTAAAAACTCTATTTAGCAAATTTGTAGCTGAAGTTACAAAACAGCAGATAAAAGCGAAAAGTAGCAAAACCTCAACTTAGAAAAACTGTAGCCTATGTAGCAGAACAGTAGCTAAAAGCTAAAATTTCTAAAAAATATTTYTTTAGATGATGGCTAAAATTAACCAGTGGCTAAAAGCTCAGTTTAGCTAAACTGTAGCTGAAGCAGCTAAAAGTCAAACATAGCAGAATATTATCTAAAAGCTAAAATGTATAAAAATCATTTATAAAAGTTTAAAATTTCCAAAGAATGGCCAAAAACTGATTTGAGCAAAAATAGCAGAACAGTAGCTAAAAAAAGTAACTTTCTGAAAGTTTCATTAAAACCTCTCCAGTGATTCATGAGATATTTTGCTAACAGAAGAGCAGAGTAGAACAGGTTTTGCTCAGTGTGAGTGTCAGGGATGACTCTCAGCTACCAACACACCTTCACTGTGCACACTACCTCACATTTTATAACGTTTAGTTAAAAAATTCAGCTGTGAAACTGACAGAAAGCACCAAAAACCGTCAGCGCTGGTCTCAGAGCTCCACGTGTTGAGCTCTGCTCTTCGTCATGCGTCTCCTTCTAAAGGCTTAACTCCCGTCTTTGTTTGTGGTTTCCCTCCAAACCGCCCGAAGGAGCAACAGATCAGGACAAAGTGCTGAGTTTCAACAAAACAAAAACGCTCATTTAGGCTGTCAAAGAAACACCCGGGTCTGCGCTCGGAACAAAACCTGCTTGCCTCACGTCCAAACCCATGAAGGGAGGAATAACAAGCGAGCGGACCGACCACTTCGGCCCTGGTACGAGCCGTTCACCCGGCGTTGTTTTCGCCTTGCGCGTCTTAAATTACAGCCTCTGCCAGAGGTGAAGAGAGCGACGTTTGGTTTACTGGAAGGGTTCCTGGTGAAAACGGATACGGGGTGATTTCTGACCACTTACAGACCGCAGATCGGCATCCATAAATGTTACAGAGGGGCCAGCCGAGGGTGGCCATCCCACAAACATTCCACAAATCTGTCTCTATTAAGAACAACCGGGTCTGGAGCACACCGCTGCACTGCTTTATGGTCCAGCAGGACTTTCTGAGGAGACGCTCCGTTTCGCTCCTCAGCTGTTTTCTCACCTTTCTGCTCTTATCTGTCGAAATATCTGCCGACGTCTGCTTCTGTTCCTGCAGGTGAGAGAACTGGACGGCATCCCGCTCATATTAGACAACTGCAACGTCGACAGCAGCAATCCTTGTATCCTTTTAAAGCAAAGCATTTCGAGGCCCAATGCTGCAGATTAAATCAACAATGTGTTTATTTACATGTAAACAATCCCCTCCAGAAGTTGCAGCTTCTTTTGTCGTCACGTTTTGCCTCATTTGTTTAATTTTCTATTTTTAGTAATTCTCGATTTGTGGAACAACTTGTGTCTGAATTGTAGTGGACTTTGGGAAAATGACTAAAACCAGATATTTGTTGTTAAAAAATAGTTTTTGTGACGCAAAGATGAGAAGTTAGAGGCTGATTCTTCAGATTAGCAATAAATCTTTGAGTGAATCATTAAAAGCAGTTCGTAAATAAATTATTGGCATCTTTTTTTTACTTGTAGAGTTCTGAATATATGCCAATCTTTTAGGGAATTTAATCACAAACTTACCCTGTTGTGTTTGATCCTTCAGACACCTRCAAAGACTAAAAGCTGCTAAAATACATATAAATTACCTGCATAGTACTTTCTCAAGTACTTCAATATGACCTCAAATTTAATTAACCTTCCCCAGAGGTGGCCTTGGTTTTTTGTAATTTCTTAATGTGTTTAGTTTGGCCAATTTCCTGTGAACTTAAAGYAACTCAAGCTGCTTTTCTTATTTTTTTGCAGGAATTTTCATGCATTTTTTTTAAAACCACGTTATACATGAAGGYGTGCTCRTCCTGGAGTCTWGATCAGCTGTTTATTTTAGAAGAAYAACATTATTACAGGGATAATGTTGCAGATTTCCAGGTTRGAGCGGGACAAAATTATTCGCTTTACAACTCGAGTCACGTGAAAAGAAAAGAGAGTCTTAACTTCCTTAACCAACGGCGTGAAGTTATCAGCCAGTGGTCCATCTTCRCCATCAGGAACCTGCTGGAAAACAACCTGCAGAACCAGGAGCTGGTCGCCGGCCTGGAGCGGCGCGGCCCGGCGGACTACTCTGCGCTCAGGGAGTTGGGCTTCCTGGTGGAGGAGCGGGACAGAAACCTGCTTCTCAAACCTTTGAGGAAAGATGCCTAAAGACCAAAAAGACAAGAACCCTCAGGCAGGTTTCACAGGTCTCTCTCTTTGTGTTTAAAAACCCTATAGACGCTACCAAGTAGTTCAAGTTCTTTCACACTGCAGATTAATTAGAAAAGCCTTTTATTCTTTGTGCGCTCTGCAGGGCTAAAGTTAATAATCAAAGACCCATGAGGTCTCCGCTCCTGCTTTGTCTCAGTCCCGGTCCGGGAAATGAGGAGTTTGTGAGCGGCGAGCGCATGCTGATATGTTTTAGAAAGGCTGAATCCTTTGGGTTTAATGCAGAAACAAAGAGCTCCGCCGTGTCTTCGGCTCGTTTGCCTTTCAGAGGCGGCGATGCCACCAGCGGGAGGTGGAATTTAATCGCAGTAACCATGACAGAATGACTTAAACACGACATAATCTACCCCTGCCTGGCCTTTTCTTATAAAACGATGACATCATGGCCACGGGATGAAGAGCTGCTTGTCTGAACGAACATGTTGTTTAATATTGCAACCACAATTTAACAAAAGTACAATTAAAAACAAAATTAAAAACCTCATAAACGCCGTATTTTATTCACAATGGAACATACTGTATAAAGCAGGGCTATTCAAGTGATGGCCCGCGGGCCATCACTTGAATAGCCCTGCTTTATACCCTCCTGTTATGTTCGTTTCTGAGGAACAGCAATAATGTTCCTGGGTCAATTTGACCCAGGGCATGTTTAATCAGGCTATAGCAGGGCTATTCAACTGGCGGCCCGCGGGCCACATCCGGCCCAAGGGTGACCGAAGTTCGACCCACCAATTGGTTTATTAATTTCTTAAGCCCAAACCCCCGGTTTTCTACTTTAATTACTCTAAGGTCTTTTGGCTAAACATAGACATGTTTGGTATCTACAGAAACGTCAGGATCTTCGCTAGAAGCTGGTATAAACCATTTCACTGAACACCTAAGACAGTTAAAACTACTAACAATTGAAGATAAAACTATGAAATTGAATAAAATTAGTTTAAAAATGTGGCAGGTCAGAGATGTCAAAATAATCGTGTTAAATAGGAGGCATAATGTGTTATTTTTGTTGTTGATATTGTTTTACTATCACTACATTTATTACATAGGGTTATGTTGTATTCATGATTAAATGCGGTAAAATAAACTATTTCAAAKGTAACRGATATTTGTRATACTTGGTTTATTTGCATAAAAACTTTAATTGCTGGATGTTCGGCCCCTCAGCTGCTGTGGCCCCCGGAGCAATTTAGTTGAATAGCCCTGGTATAAAGTGAATTTTATGGCAGCAACAAATCACAAAAATGTTGGAGTAGGAGTCCGGGAATCTAGAGAAATCTTTAAGCTGAAAGTTAATACTGGATGTTTGGGATCTTCAGGCCCTCAGGAACCACTGCTGTAAAACCAGGTCTGATCTGGACATAATACAAAGACACTTCAAAAGCCTGCCTCTCTGATGATATAGGGGTGTTTWGTGCCTCTAGGCAGCCTACACCTCTAGATTTAAAATGACCTTGAACAATTTCTTATTTCAACAATGTTGTTCAACTGTGTTCCGTTATTTATTAAATATGGGTTTATGAGATTTGTAATTTATAGCATTGCACATTTTCAGAACCTTTTTTGGAACTCTGGTAATTTTGAAGCTAATGGAACTAAAAATAAACGATTTTGATATACAACACTGCTTTTGTAGAAAGAGAGGGTTTAGCAAACCATATTGCTTTTTATCTTGTAACTATCTAACTATATGCATGATTTGAAACAGGAAATAGAATTTATCTGAGTATTTGTTTGCTTTTTCACTTGTATTTGATCTCCTTATTAAAACAAGTATTTGACTGGACAAGTAATTGACACCGATGAGAATCAGTTTACAGGATGACGTTCCTCTCTTGTCCTGGATGAGCCGAGCGCTTCCGACAGCCCAACAATGCGGCGCTTTGCGCCGCGCCCTGCTCCACCCTGTTTGCTCTGCTCTCCCGATTTTTAATGGCAAAATGTATCGAGACAATCAGCTGGACTTTCCCCCGTCAATCCGGCAGCCTAGCGAAGGGAGCTTATGTGGTTCCGGTTCCCCGGGATCTCAGACGGCTAACAAAACAGACGTTACTCGCGCTCGACTGGCCCGCTGCAATGCTTTTCAGCGCGAGTCAGCTGGGCCGAGAGCGAGCATCTCATTTCTCATATCAGCGTTTTTACACCTCACTGCATCGTTCTTGGACCTTCTGCTTTGAAATGGGCCTTAAAATAAAATTTCACATCTAAAACTTTCACAAAATGAGATAAAACCGTCTAACTACAACATTTCTTCAGATGTTTTTAAATGGTGTCACAGCAGCTACTTCCTGAACTAACTTTGTCCCTTTAAGGGATCCCTGATTAGTTGTAACTTTAGACTTTATTTAATAAACTCATATTTTAACAGTAAAATAAAGACTGTAAAAATACTGTAGGCTGTTCAGTTTTTATCATTTTTCAACTAAAAGTTTAAAAATATATTACAGGGATGGGGCCATTTTATTTACATGCAAAGCATTCTGGGTAAATGATGACATGGATAGGTCCTCGGGGCGAGGCTGCTAGCGAGCTATATCCACCCTGAAGCTAGCTCCGATGCTATCACCATATATATGTATTAGCTCAGCGCTACACATACTCCTCTCGTCAGTGAGGTCCTCCATCCACATGACAGAGAGGGGAACACAAAAATCACTCAGTCTGCAACTGAAAATATGGATGGAGGACCTCAGTTTAGCTTGTTTGTCACGCTAGCACTGAGCTAATACATATAAGGAAATATAGCATCGGTGCTAGTGCAAAGACTAACAGGCTAAGCTGAGGTTCTTCTTCATGAAGCAGCTCTGTTGTCCTCCATCCATATTTTCAGTTCCAGGCTGAGTCATTTCTACCTTCTCCTCTCTGTCAACGCTCTCTGGTTTCATTTAAAAGAGTCGATCATCAGATATTGTCCAAGATTAAMCTTCAGGGTGGATATAGCTCGCTAGCAGCCTCGCACCGATGACCTATCCACGTCATCATTTACCCAGAATGCTTTGTGTGTAAATAAAATGGCTCTGTCCGTGTTAAAATATATTTWAAAAAAATTCACAAAAGTAAACATCCTACAGTATTTTTACAGTCTTTATTTTACAGTTAAAATAAATGTTTATCAAATAAAGTCTAATGTTACAACTAATCAGGGATCCCTTTTAAGACTACAGTGGCTGTGTGAAAACTACAAATCAGATCTTAAATTTCTTTGAGTTGTGTGAGTTTGTATATGTACCTAAATAAGTTTGGAAAATTTTAGACATTTTAACTAGGAATGCACTGTATTGATATCGGTATCKGTACTAAATGTAAAACTGGGCTGATAATGTCAGATATTAATTTCCCACTTTTTAGCTTTGTGTTTCTGTTTTGGGAGAGGAGATGGTTGGTTGAGCAGCATCTGTTTGGTCATGATGGTGATATTGACGCTGCACAGCCAGGAATAACTGAARTAGAGCCATGTCAGAGGTCTGGTCATTTATTTACTGTATCAAAAAAAGACCCAAGTGTGTTTATGCGTATATGTATAATATAATTTGTGTGTTTGTGTAATATCGGTAAATATCAGTTATCGGCCATAACAGTAAAAATTATATTGGATATCGATATCATCTGAAATTTTCATATCGGTGCATCCCCAATTCTGTAAGGTATACATTATGTACACAAATGTCCAGAAAAAAAACATCCATCCATCCATCCATCCATCCATCCATCCATCCATCCATTTACCCATCCATTTATCTACTTAGCCATTCATCTATCTCTCCATCCATCATCCATCCATCCATCCATTTATCTCTTTAGGCAATCATCTATCTCCATCTGTTCATCCATCCATCTATCCATCCATCCATCCATCTATTTAGCCATTCATCTATCTCTCCATCCATCCATCCATTTATCTATTTAGGCATTCCTCTATCTCCATCCATTCATCCACCCATCCATCCATCTATCCATTTAGTCCTCCATCCATTTACCCATCCATCCATCCATCCATCTATCTTTATCCATCCATCCATTTTTCTATTTGGCTATCTATCCATCCATCTATCCATTCATCTAGTCATAGATCGATCGATCGATGGATCCATCTATCCATTCTAGTCATCGATCAATCCATCCATCCATCTATCCATTCATCTAGCCGTCCATCCATCCATCCATTTATCAGTCCATTCATCCCTTACAGTCTGGTTGTGGGCGCAGCAGCTTGATCAATGAGGTCCAGACATCTCTTTCCACAGCCACCTCCTCCAGCTCTTCTAGGAGGACTCCAATATGTTCCCAGGCCAACCTAGAGTCTCTCATTCACGTCCTGGGTCTTCTCCAGGGTCTCCTCCCAGTTGGACATTCCTGGAAGGCCTAAGGAGTCGTCCAGGGTTCACCCCAGCTGAACCACTTCAACTGTAGCTCTACTCCAAGTCTCTCCCGGGTAACTGAAGTTCTCACTCTATCACTAAAGAAAGTCCAGCTTCTCCACAAAGACAACTAATTTTGACCGCTTGTATGGTGACTACACAGAGTTCATAACCTAGGTGAGGGTGGGAATGTAGACCGTGCTCAGCTCCCTCCTCAATACAAATCAACTCATAAAACCTAAACTAGGATGATGTGCTTCATCTACCAGCGACGCTTTAGGTTGGTATGCCTTTTGGAAATACTGAGGAGCCCAGTTTACAAATATATATATATA